CTCCCAACCACTGCGCCATCAGGGAAGTCCAAAATTATTAATTTTTAAAAGATCAATTTCTCAGCCTTCTCTTTATAGTTAGTGCTTCTTGCTTCGTATATCCTATTTAAGAAATCTTTGTCTATCCCAAACTTATGAAGATATTCTCCTGTTTTCTTCTAGGAGATTAATTATTTTAGATTGCTTATATAGGTCTGTTTAAAATTTCTAATTTTGTGTGTGGTGATGTAAGGTTCCTTCTTCCCTATACAGCTGTCAGGTTCTCTACGCTGGCCTTGAGCTGGATATTCAAGGTCATAAGTTGGTTGTTTTGTTGTTGTTATTGTTGTTGTTTTTGGTAAGCTTTCTAATACATCCAATAAGTCATACTAAAAACCATGATTGTTATTGTAATCAAGCACAGCCACCCCACTTTTTTGTTTGTTTGTTTGTTGTTGTTTTTGTTTGTTTTTGTGGTACACGGGCCTCTTGCTGTTGTGGCCTCTCCTGTTGGCGGAGCACAGGCTCTGGACGCGCAGGATCAGCGGCCATGGCTCACGGGCCCAGCCGCTCCACGGCATGTGGGATCTTCCTGGACCGGGGCACGAACCCATGTCCCCTGCATTGGCAGGCGGACTCTCAATCACTGTGCCACCAGGGAAGTCCCAGCCACCCCCATTTGATCACCTAAAGTCTTGCCCTCCACAGACCTACTCCATCCAATATAATTTGAGTAATTGTGTTGCCCTTGCTTGGTCTGGATTGCCAGTTCACAATATCTGCCAGGCATAAGAAGTCATCTTTGCATTCCTTAAATGTATAAGCTACTCAGTCCCAGAATCCCACTTTGATACTGTTTCTAGGGACATGTCTGGTAAAAAAAAAAAAAAAAAAAAAAAATTCTGTATCAGTAATAATCCTGGCAAGAACCTGAAAAGCCTTTATAAGGGAATTATTTGCAGAATGGTGGACAGAGTTAAAGGAACCAATAATAATATTAAAATACCCAGAGACTAGCAATGGAAGAAAGCCATTACAGTCCCTTTAGTTAAAGGGGTAATGCAAATAAATAGATGATAGATAGATTGATAGATAGACAGACAGACTTCTCTTTCCTTCCCTTGTTATTATCTCCTGCTAGTGCCTTTCACTGGCCAAACCCATTCAGAATCCAGCTGGAAACAGAGTGGAAGTATTGAAATACATAGGGGTGAGCCTTTCAGTGCACCAAATAGGGAAGAGGAAGTCTGAGAATGGATCCAGGGGAATGGGCAAATAGAGAATAAACACATATTATGAAACAGAAGTCAACATAGACTAAGCAAGATTACTTTGAAAATAGTAAAAATATTTAATACCTCAGAAAACTAAACTAAATTGGCAATATAAATTATTAAATGTTATAGATATAAACTATAGAAACATGTCCACATATAGAATGAATAAATAGTTAGAAAGAATCTCAGATGACAAATATAGATGCTAAAGATTGAGAAATTGCAAGTGGTAGGGATTTTCAGTGATGAACGAAGGTGGTGGCTCTGTATTTCTCTTCCTGGTACATTGTAGCCCTCTGATATGAATGAATGGATGAATAAATACTGAAAATAGGAAGAATAAAGGAAACCAAAATTGATAAAACATTAATGTTTTTAACTAAAAGCAAAACCATTAATAAAAGCAAAAACACTTCTGAATTATTTGAAATAGAAAATGTAAAGCCAGGGACTTCCCTGGTGGCACAGTGGTTAAGAATCCGCCTGCCGGGCTTCCCTGGTGGCGTAGTGGTTGAGAGTCCGCCTGCCGATGCAGGGGACGTGGGTTCGTGCCCCGGTCCGGGAAGATCCCACATGCCGCGGAGCGGCTGGGCCCGTGAGCCATGGCCACTGAGCCTGCACGTCCGGAGCCTGTGCTCCGCAACGGGAGAGGCCACAACAGTGAGAGGCCCACATACCGCAAAAACATACAAAAAAATAAAAAATTAAAAAAAGAATCCGCCTGCCAATGCAGGGGACACGGGTTTGAGTCCTGGTCTGGGAAGATCCCACATGCCGCTGAGCAACTAAGCCTGTGTGCCACAACTACTGAGTCTGTGCTCTGGAGCCCGTGCACCACAACTACTGAAGTCTGCACGCTCTAGGGCCCATGAGCCACAACTACTGAGCCCATGCTCTGCAACAAGAGAAGCCACCACTGTGAGAAGCCCGCACATCACAACAAAGAATAGCCTACACTCGCTGCAGCTAGAGAAAGCCCGCGCACAGCAATGAAGATCAAATGCAGCCAAGAAAAAAAAATTTTTAAAGCACACCAAAAAATCAAGCCAGCCTTGGATTTTTCTGCTACAACAACGAATATCACATATTCTTTTAAAGAACTTTCAGAGAAAAATATTACCTAAGAACCAACTCAACTAGTTGTTCATATGCAAAACCAAGAGAAGAATGTTGTAAACATATTTCATCAAATGTAAGCTTCATTGAGTGTAAGATACACTTTGTTCTATTAACACAAAGAAAGGAAAAACTCTTCCAATTAAACTTTAACACAGTGTTTTAACAGTGATCGTGGATGATGCATGGACTGTGCTGACATTTCCCCAGCGTTCTGTGTGATAAGGCAATAATTTCATGTGTATCTCCATAGTAAAACATAATGTAACTTCATCTACTTGTAGGTTTCTTTTTTCTTACGTCTTATAAAATACTTGGTGATTGTTCTACAAGAAAATGTGGCAGTGTGGTCATTCTTTAGCGACTTTTGCTTTATTGATAAATCTATGCCCTGCTTTGTTTTTCTCTCTTGCTGAACCCATAATAATTTTGTTTCAATACCAGATTATAATGTAATATTTAAAGGCATTTTAAGCAGCATTAAAACTTAACATGTATTATACCAGTGATTCAGGAAAGTGATGACAGTATAAAGAGCGGAGACAAAGTATAATACATACATGTGTAGCCAATTGACCATTATGGCGTGAGTGCCACCTAGTGGACAATGATTATAAGACAGATCAATTATAAAATCTCTCCATTTCCAAGATGTGAAAATGTGAAGAAAAAAAAAGCGTTATCTTATGTTTATAGATGAAATATGGCATATTGAACCTTAACAATTGTAATGGTTAATTTTATGTGTCAGCTTGACTGGGCCAAGGGGTGCCCAGATTAAACATTATTTCTGTGTGTGGCTGTGAGGATGTAGCTGGGTGAGATTAACATTTGAATCCATAGACTGTCCTCCTCAGTATGGGTGGGCATCATCCAGTCTCTTAAGGGCCTAAGTAGAACAAAAAGGTGGAGGCAAGAGGAATTCACCTCTTTTGCTTCTTGCCCACCAGCTTGAGCTCGGACATCATCGGTCTTCTCCTGCCCTCCCACCCCACAAACCCAGTTCTCAGGCCTTGGGGCTTCAACTGGGAGTTACACCATCAGCTCCCCTGGTGCTTGGGCCTTTGATTCTCTATCTTACAGACAGCAGATCATAGAACTTCTCAGCCTCCATAATTGCATGAGCTAATTCCTCGTTCTAAATTTCACAATAAATAAATATATATATTGGCTTGTCCAGGGTGATTGTGGTGAGAAGTGGCTGGGTTCTATATATATATATATTTTTTGAGGCTAACGTCAGTAGGATTTGCTGATGGATTAGACACAGGGTGTGAGAGGAAGAGAGGAATTACGAATGGCTGTATGGTTTTTGGACTGAGCAGCAGGGATAACACAG